AATTATTTTTAGGAATTAAAATTGGATTGGGTCTTGGATTGTTTTTGTGTTTATCATTTCTTAGAAGAGAGATATTTAAGAGACACAACCACACAAACAGATCCATTAAACCCGGTGACTGAGCGCAAAACAAAAATACCCGAAAAAAAGAAACTACCGGTTACTCAAAAAAAAAGAGGTTATTTAGTATCTAAAGACCGTTGGTAACAGTCCAAAAAACCGGAAATTGTTGTCTGTTTGGGCGGGAACGGTGTGCGCACACAACACAATCGATTTGTAATTTTCGCCATCGGCAAACGAAATAATTGGTGATGCTATAATAGATAGGCACGTCGCATCGTTCTGGACATCGAAATTAAATCCAGCGACGGCAAAATCCCTGGGTAACGAAAGCGGTCGGATTCAGAAGGCCCGGCCGGGTCGCGTCCCGCGGGATCAAATTAGACGGAATTACCAGAAACCGCTATAATAAGATATACCATATCCCCTCCAGGTTCGCTTCCTGAATCAAGTCGGCCATTACACCATCCCCACCCTGCTAATTTAACATGATTCCTGCAGCCGTTTCGTCGTCACCACGCCTCATTTGAAGGCGTGGTTACAACAATGGGCGTGTTTAAATTTGTTCTTTCAATGTACATTTTCGTTCGGCTATTGGGGACTAGATGGCACTACATGTTTTATTTTAAAAATTCTTATTGATATTATTAATCGATTATTGTGGGGATAAGAAATAGATTTAAAGTAAATAAGATATTGATTTAGACGGAGTAAAAAAAGTTATATGAGGATTTTTTGTGTCAAAGAGTTTTTACTCCAAATAAATTAATTTCATTTTGGTCGGTAAAGCAGTGTTATTGATACAGAAACTGTCACTTGTCAAATGATTTTCAATGTTAATGTAGCTAATATTACTTGTGTCCCATCTGGGACATAATTTTGAACGATTAGGCGAATTAAGTTGGCGTAACAATACTTATACTTTTTTTCCTTTTGGAATCTGATTAGCCCCAAAAAATGATGCAAGTACTAAGTCTGCTGTAAGTCTCATGCAGGTTGAGTTTATAATTAATGTCTACGAGGGCAACTTTTAAGGAGATTGAGTTTGGCTGTTTCAAATGAACTTATTACAGAAAAGCTGTGAGTGGAATTAACATAACGGCCAATTTAGCGAATACAAACGATGAAGAAGGTTACAATTTGGGATTGCTTAGGACTCGGGTGCTTTATTTGGTGAGACATAAAGAAATATTATGTTTCAAATTATTAATATGAATCATTTCAGATTATGTATGAATGGAGCAATTGAATTATGCAGTAAGAAATGGATAATTAAAACCATATTGGAACAAAATTGAAAGTTACAGTTCTTAAATAAGTCTAAACCATGAAACCACTGGACTGCGCTTATATGCTTTGTATTCTGCGTTTTCATACTCACTACTCCAATCCCTATAGTTAAATACCATACAAGCAGAGTTAAGGATCTGGATTACAGATCTGGTTGTACACAATTTTGAGTGAGCATCTTGGAGTCTTGCCCCAAGATCTAATACATTTGGAATACAAAGTCATACCTATATATATTGCAGTGCTAGCATACAAAACCATTTATGTGCATTGAAGATGTAATGCGCGAAATTTACTTCAGCTCATTGACTTTATATTTGTGTTCATTGTTGGACTATATCACCAGCTTTCTAGTTGCTTTTTGTACTGTTAATCAAGTTGGAAAGATTGTCATTACTCCAACGAATGTTGATATGATTCGTCTTCATGATTGAGTAATTCTGTCATGTAAAGCAGGAACTAGGATGATCCTAAAACAGACAAAAAAAGTCTAAAATGAAAAGGAAGATTATTAGGAATTGTTATTGTTATAGTTACTCACAATTTATTTATTAACTTTTATAACAAAAATATTTTGAAACCTCTTATCAGATTAATGATAATTTGAGTTAACAACAAACGTTTCCTCGCGTTCGTCATAGGCTCCTTCCTTCTGATGAGTCGATCAATCACTTCGCACCTCTTTGTGTTCACGTCACAACACCTTCCTCTTTCAATTGTGACACGCGGCGTCTTAATTGCCGAGAACGGTGGAGTCGCGTCCGATAATCCGACGTTTCTCCGCGAGTATAGGATACAAGAGACGAAGAGAGAGGGATCTTCCTCATCCGGACTTCTGCGACGACTATTTCTTCCCGACCATAACTCCAATACAGCGCAATCACGCGTCCGAATCGAAGGTCTATTAAGGATGACGGTTTAAGGGGGGTGAAAGGGAGGCATCGTTGTGGTATAGCAAGCAGCGGTGGCTGTGCAATTGTAGGCACACAGTGTGTCAGCGCTTGAATAAGAAATTAATTTCCATGACGGGCGGTGTATGGCGGGGGGACCGACCGGGGCATGATACGATCCCGCGCGGTGTCATTATTAAAAAGTTGCCCGTCACCCGGGCAAATGGCCCCAACCTGCTACTTAGACGGTAGCCGTCGAAGAAGAAACCGGGCAACGTCTCTCTGCCCTTCCATTTCGAAACCGGCCGTTACGACTGCTTCTTGTTGAACGAGGTTGAATTTTGGCTAAATGGGTTTCTAAACAGACGACGTTTTTTTTTTTTAACCTTTTCATTCAACCACTTTTTTTTTTCTTTCATAATCATTTCCTCTATTTTTTCTTTACATTTATTTACTATTTCATTTCATACATTAGTATATTTAAATATAAATGTTATTGTTCAAGTTGTTCTATTCCATGTTCATAGATAAAGTCGGGATAATCTCATATTCTAGTGTTATAGTTGTAATGTTAGTGTTAGTTCTAATTTTAGTTGTTATTCAGTGTTAGATTTTTGTAATTGTTTTAATTGTCATTAAACTAAAACTAGAACTCACACTAAACCTAGAACTAGAATCATTCGGGTTTAGCCGTCTTATGAGACGTTCGGCTAAACCCGAATGTTTCTAGTGCTAGGTCTAGTATTAATTTTAATAGCAATGCTAGATAGTGCTAGTTGGTATTGATAGCTCTAGGTTGTTATATATTTCTATCAGACTAGAACTAGAACTAACACTAGACCTAGGACTAGAAACATTCGGATTTAGCCGCACGTCTCTCAAGACGGCTAAAGCCGAATGATTCTAGTTCTAGGTGTTGTGTTAGTTCTAGGTCTTATGTTAGTTCTAGGTCTTGTGTTAGTTCCAGTGACAGTGTTAGTGCAAAACTAGAACTAACACTAGACCTAGAACTAGAAACATTCGGATTTAGCCGCACGTCTCTCAAGACGGCTAAAGCCGAATGGTTCTAGTTCTACCTCTTGTGTTAGTTCCAGTGATAGTTCTAGTTTTACTTGTTATTCAGCGCTAGATCGTTGTATATTTTTATTGAACTAACACTAGATTTAGAACTAGAATCATTCGGGTTTAGCCGTCTTAAGAGACGTTCGGCTAAACCCGAATGTTTCTAGTTCTAGGTCTAGTATTAGTTCTAGTAGCAATACTATATAGTGCTAGTTGGTATTGATAGCTCTCGGTTGTTATATATTTCTATCAGACTAAAACTAGAACTAACACTAGACCTAGAACTAGAAACATTCGGATTTAGCCGCACGTCTCTCAAGACGGCTAAAGCCGAATGGTTCTAGTTCTAGGTCTTGTGTTAGTTCCAGTGATAGTTCTAGTTTTACTTGTTATTCAGCGCTAGATCGTTGTATATTTTTATTGAACTAACACTAGATTTAGAACTAGAATCATTCGGGTTTAGCCGTCTTAAGAGACGTTCGGCTAAACCCGAATGTTTCTAGTTCTAGGTCTAGTATTAGTTCTAGTAGCAATACTATATAGTGCTAGTTGGTATTGATAGCTCTCGGTTGTTATATATTTCTATCAGACTAAAACTAGAACTAACACTAGACCTAGAACTAGAAACATTCGGATTTAGCCGCACGTCTCTCAAGACGGCTAAAGCCGAATGGTTCTAGTTCTAGGTCTTGTGTTAGTTCCAGTGATAGTGCTAGTGCAAAACTAGAACTAACACTAGATCTGGAACTAGAAACATTAGAACTTTCTAGTTCTAGGTCTAATGTTAGTTCTTATTAAGTGTTAAATTGTTGAATATATTATTTGTTTTGACTAGAAACATTCAAATTTAGCCTTTGCTGTATTACTCGAGGTTTTACAGTAATTTGAAATCGTTATCAAAAAAAATTTTTTGTAATAATTTTTATTTTCTTCATTTTGTGTGACTAATGGTTTTAACAATTTCATACAAAGACGTCTGTCCAGGTCGCCATTAATAATAATTATTGTTACATTATGCCATATCTCATCGAGCGACGGTCTTTGAGACGCAGGTGTTCACAGTTTTGTAAGTAATCCATTTGTGGGGTTATCCTCTTTCTTCGTCGTCCTCTCCGTCTTTAATTCTTTGTCCAAATCCAACCGCAGTTTAATTTAATTTAATTTAATAAAAAAAGAAACGGAGAAAGAGACGGATTAATCCGAATATTAAGACCACACCCTAATTTTTAAAAATCAACCAACATTTCCCAAGAGAGAGAAAACCTCGCCTAGAATTCTCGAATATTGAATTACGGTTTTCCCCGTAATTTTCTCGAGGAGAACCAAAGAACAGTAGTAGATTCGACTAAGAACTTGGAGATGGATCACTCAATCAAGCTGGAGTGACAGCTGACAGACGGAGATTCTCGGTTCGGCCAAACGTGATTTCCCCGTGGTAATTGCTGCAACGATTCATTACCTCCGATATTGCGCCCGTGTTATTTCCAAGAAGATTAAAAACGAATTAATCGCGGAGACACGATTGTTTCGAACCATATCTCAAGATACGCACAGCGTGAACATACAATTTGTCTCTTTTTTTACTTTTAGAGTGTGAACCTAAAAAAATGCGTCTTTATCGACCGGAGATTACAATAGTTATCGCGACAGGAGTAAGCTATGAGAAGAGAAATTTAAAATAATTTTATTTTTTTTTAGAATCAAGATTCTCGATGCAGACAACGAAGGGAATTTGCAACATTAACCTTGTTACAAGGTGCAGCGTCCCAGATCGAATCGAATTACGTTTGGAAATACGCAAACAGAGACCCACCCCGTAGAGAGAGGTACCTTTAAAAAGGAAAACGGCGCCTTTCGAACCGATTTCCCGTCGACGACGAGGCAACGGCAAACGTCGATAAACGGGGCTCACCCCCCAACCATCGGATACAAATTGGAACGCGCGGGGTTAAACAGCTCGTTACCCCCCGATACCGGTCGAAATTACAGACTCGCGCAAGAAAACGGGTTAGGGGAGTTTCAAATTTCTAAGGATCACCCCGATGATCACGATGACGGATTAACTAACGCGCCGTAATCATCCTCAATTACGCCCACGGGGGCGCAAAAATTGATACCGGTACCCCGATTACCATAACAAATTTTCGATTCATACTGGGACACAAAAAAAATTTACATTCCATACCCCCAAAGCGGACGAACAAACTTGCCTTCATCGATTACTTACCAAAAATAAATCGAAACGTCCGAAACTCCTCGAGGAGAACTTGAAGGACCAGATGCCGTGTGTTGATGGCACTCTACGAAATTGGGCTCGAATATTAGAACCTCCCTCACAATATAAATTGATCTTTAAGAATCGTCTTTAAAAGGATTATTATAAACATAAAAAAATGTTTTACCTTGATCCTTGGGGACTCTCATATTATCCCGGAAGAATTTATTTACCGGTTGGTGTAGATGTGGTAAAAATCGCCTGTTTGAAGCTCCTGGTTCATTCAACCCATTTGAGATTATCACAATCCTTCAAATTCACTTCAATGTTGTTCATCCACCGACGAAACATAATTATTGAAGAATAGCAGTGTCGCCTAAAAACGATCAACCTAACCTATAAATTGTTTATTTTATAGCCACACGCATAAAATCAATCTGATAAAACGACCCAAACGTTTTTATTTACCATATACGATGTTCGTGTGGATCTTAACATTTTTTTTATGGAACATTTTTAACCCACCCCGAGTTTAAATGTTAATTAACCTAACTCAAAATCTGATTTCAAAATGCGCAGGACTTCTTTTATAACATTGCGCAATATTATCATAACAATGTGGTCTGGCGACAGGTAGTCAGTCGTTGTGCATCGAAAACTTAAGAAACAAGAGTATTTCGCCCGAAAATATTCGTTGTAATGTTAACAAGTTTAGTGAAAATTACCATATTTTTAATTTTATCAAATTGATTTTGTGCGTGGCTGTGAAATAAACGATTTATAGGTTAGGTTGATACGAAAATGCATGGTTAGCATTACTGGTGATGTCACATAAAGTGATTTTTCGGTAAGTTCTACGATTTTTTCGATTCTTGAAATATGCCCATAACGTTTATCTACTACAACAAATTTTGTGTTGGTTATCTTATTTTTTATTTTAGTTTGGAAACTTACTTGACATATAGAACTTGTTCTTCACTTTCTTTGAATCCTAAAATGAATGTTTTAAATGTTTTTAAATAATGATAAAGCGTCAATTTGATTTTGACATATTATTTTGGGTGTTTGAGTGAGGTTAGTTATAAATTGAAGTTAGTTGCATAATACCAACCCCTTAAACAATAACAATTCCTTATTAAACGAAAAATAATATTAATAGCATTAATAATTAATAAACATATTTACACATTTTCTTATCGCGTTTACGAATTACGTAAATAACTATGTTTTTTTTTGTATTATAGTATTAAATTTGAAACATTCATAAATAACTTTTTGGTACTAGTTTTGCAATTTTCTTTTTTTCTATAAAAGAATTCTAAACTAAAATTTAAAGTTGTTGAAATTAATTCCATTAAAGGTTTTAAAAGAATCAAACTTAATTAACTATAAAATAAATTATTTGTTAGATTTTTGACATTTTAAATGATTATACTCTGTTTTTAAACCAGGAGGAGTATTTTAAATTTGTCACCAGATTGACCTTGCACGTGATTGGTTGAATGCGAGGAAGGTTCACACACAGGCAATTTTGAATTTGAAGGTTAGGTTATTGATAATTCGACAGTTTCCTGTCATTATTGTAAATTTTGTGTTCCTAAACCCTTCTTTATTACATTTTGAAATAAATACACTCATAACTTCAATGTTAATTTGTATGTTTAGTGTTGACGATAACAAACGAAAATAAATACAATAATAAGTAAATAAATAAATAATAATAATTATTAATTTAAATTTACCGCCAAAATATCTAGTGATATTTTCTGGTGATTTTTCCTAGTGTAAATCTGACTTTCGCGTTTACTCCTCCTGGTTTAAAAACAGAGTATAGGTTAGTTATGAACTGAAGTTAGTTGCATAATACCAACCCATAAACAATAACAATGCCTTAGGGCCGGTTTATCAATATCTAGTTAAGACGAATTATCTGTCAATTAAAATTGTAGCTGATAGATAACGTCGACGAATCGTTTATCCATCCCTAGTTTAGGGTAATCTTATAGATAAATATGACATTTGGATACCCACCAGATTGAAGTACTGGTTAAGGGTTTACCTATTAGATATTGTCAAAAAAATGTGAGCACAAGTTTGGTTGCTTGGTGAAAGTAAATGAGAATAAAATTAAAATATAACGTCAAAAATAAATTAGGTCCATTACTACCATCTTTTAGATAAATTTATCTTATAGATAAACCCATCTACTAGCCAATCAGAGCGCGTAAAATAGCCGTAACCGTGGTAATAATCCCTTAGATAGCTTAACCAGAAGATGGTAGTAACGAGCCTTAAGCGTATAATTGTGGTATAATTTTAGTACAGCAGAAAAGAACTTGCTGATGGATTTGGCAAACGAATATAAAAATGTTATAGAAAATAAATAATGATGTAGTAATTAAAAAAAAAATAATAATATAATCTATAATCTTATACAGTATAAACTCGTCTCAATTTTAACCAAGATCGACAAAAAAATTGTGTTTCACCAATTACGTTTCATTTCCGTTTCTAATGTTAACACTCAGGGGTACCATCTATGTTCTATCTCGTAGGTTGCTGCCTGTCGGGTAGAAAGTTGCTGGATAAACGGTTATCTGTTAGGCAAGTTTATCCATGAGTTGCGTATCTAACAGATTTTACTCGACATTGATAAACCGGCCCTTATTAAACCAAAAATAATCTTAATGACATTTTTAATTAATGCACGTATTTACACATTTTCTTTTGTATTATAGCGTATAAATTTGAAACCTTCATAAACAATTTCTTGTATAGTTCCAAGTGGCGATGTTAATAAATAACTTAACATATCTCATTATAGGAGAATTGGTCCACAGTAAGCGAAGTCTCTCTTCAGCCAACATCATACCAACTGCTGGCTCATCTGCCGCTTCATTACCAGCAACCCCAGAGTGACCTGGGAGCCAGATCAAAGAAACTCGAATCAGAAAACTCATTAACCAGAAGCGACACGATTTTCATGCTCTGCAGCGCCTGGAGAGCGGCTTGACTATCTCAAGAAGGATTTTAGCACCCAAATACTTCCGCCTGGAATACCGTACAGTACGTATCTAGCCTGTAAGCTTGCTTAATCCAAAGTGTCGGGCAGGATACTCGGAGCGTTTTTAATCTATCTGTTGAACATGCAAATATCTGCCTGAATCAGAAAATTTTCGTTTTCGATCCAGGACTGCCGTTCAAGCGGTACAATCTGGTATCGAGCATTAATCACTGGTAGTGATCCCATCAAATCTGACGACATTGATGTCGGAGCAGTTTTGAGCATATTGCTTCTGCATTATTCACAAGGATAATCTAGCTTTATGTAAAACTCCCTGCAAATGTCCATTTCATGAGAGAGTTTTGTTTAGGATAGTTGCGTAATACCATCTTCTAAACAATACCTTAATTAATAAAAAAAAAGTATTAAAAAAGTAAAACTAATTGATTTTAAGATGTTGTATTTTAAGATTTTCTTGATGTTTTTTGAGTTAGTTTGAAACGGCGTCTTCAACTTCCTAATAATTTGCGATTCTAAGCGCGAAACTACTCCCCCCGCCAAGCGTTGGGGAAAACGGGCAAACGTCACTGATTGTACGCCCAATTACACCCCCGGGATCATGTTTACATAAGTAATCGGCGGGCGGCGTACGGTTGACACAGCGGTCCGCTGCCGGAATTAAGTGATCCCCGAACCAAAGTCACTATCACACCACACCAACAACCGGAAACGGTCATAAATAATGCAACACTTTGTACTCTTTTCATCTTTTCGGTTTGATTTATGCATTAACCGTGAAAATTCAATTTTTATTCTAATTCTTTGGGGATTTATTAACCGTGTACGACATCAAATTTGAATGATTTGTGTCGTAATTATAAATAATTAAAAATTTATCGGATAATCAATAAGATGTGTTAAATAATTTTTATTAATAAGATATAAGATTTAATTTGATTTTCTGTCGAAAAATATTTCTTTCCCGGTGTGATACGGTCTCGGCAGTTCCGGAACCGTTTTGCATATGGACAGCGGATGAATATTAAGCGACCGGCTCCCGCCGCAGCCACCGTAACTAGATTTAACTCAATCTGCCGGATTTCCCCCCCTCGGCACTCCGCCCTCCATTTCGTATGCCCCTCTTTCTCGTCGGAGTTTTCCCCCCTCGGTTTGAACCGCCCCCTACTACCGCGGTGCTGTGTGCAAACGGTTACATTTTAAACGTAAAATAAACGCGAGCACGGGCAAAGTGCCCGCTCTGCTTTTTTGAACGACAATTTCCGGTCGACGTTATGACATCTGTCGTGATTGACTCCATCCATCCATCCGTTCACCCCGGTTCAGCTCAGCACCGCGACGCCACCGTTATTTTGTTCCTGTTTGTTTCGATTGCCGACGGGCAACGCACAATTCGAAACTTAATTCGTTAGACTCTGAATGTATGTATGTATGTAGAGGGAGCTTTAATTTTTTTATTGGACAGTTTGGCCCCACATCCATTTTACTAAATGATGATTCTCTATTGAGTTGAGTCAAATTAAATAAAAACGGTACGCGGTACGTCTCAATCGACTCTTTCCCTCTCTCTTTTTTCGTATAACCATATTATGTTGCGCGTGGTAATTTATTACGCGTTCGCTTCGCTTTTGAATGGGGGCCTCGAATGGGCGGCAATTAGGCGGCGGGGAACTCGGTAATGTCCAGATTAGGGTTTATTAAAAAAAAGGCTATTCGGGGACGTTCCCGAATGGCCTTTATGTCGCGTATAATTGACCGCTAATGATACTGCGTCCGCCCTCCTTCAGAAATGCCATATTCCTATACTGCATTCCGCGCCGCTCTTTACTGTTAATAATAATTCGGGACGACTTCGGATTCCTACCAAGATTTTATTATTATAATCAAACAAAAACATTTTTATTATTACTACTCCAACATTTTATTTAAAACCACAAATATCTTTTGACATATATCTATACTTTACGTACTCTATACCAAAGTTAAACAATACTATGTATTTATTGATTTTTGCGATGCAAAACTTTTTCCTCCAAAATCGAACCCAACCCAAACAATTCCAAACATATTTTTAGAACTTAGAACATATATTCTATGTAATACTAGGAGATTTTGGCCTATAACCTGATTATTACTTGGAGTCTGGAATTCTTGATCTGCATGTGCGTGTCTTGGCTTTTTGTTGCATAGCCATACAATTCCGGACTTCTTCACGCAATCTAAATTATGTATTCTGCGTTACATGACTTAATCTTGCAGTCTTAATTTTGTAAAAGATGTAGTGTGTTTCCTTGATCAATGGTCTGCGATTCCAGACTTCTTCTTGCATGATAGAACTTAACTAATCCAATTTTAAACACCTTATTAGATTACAAAATACTCTGGATTATATAATTTGAGTCTTCTTGTAGATCAGAATGATGTTACGGCAAGTACTTGTAATTCAATTGTGGAAATCAAAAATTTGAAAGCTGAAATTGCACAATGTTTAACATTCACAACTAATATCACTTGATAAATGGAGAAAGAAATGTAGAGGATGTATAGCCTACATTTTGAAGATGACCAAATGTCAGTGATGCAGGAGNACTATGACTAGAACTAACACTAGACCTAGATCTAGAATCATTCGGGTTTAGCCGTCTTGAGAGACGTGTGGCTAAATCCGAATGTTTCTAGATCTAGGTTTAGTGTTAGTTCTAGTTTTGCGCTAACACTATCACTAGAACTAACACAAGACCTAGAACTAGAATCATTCAGCTTTAGCCGTCTTAAGAGACGTGCGGCTAAATCCGAATGTTTCTAGATCTAGGTCTGGTGTTAGTTCTAGTTTGGCACTATCACTAGAACTAACACAAGACTTAGAAGTAACACAAGAATTAGAATCCTTCGATTGTAGCCGTCTTGAGAGACATTCGGCTAAATCGGAATGTTTCTGTCACGAATGTATTTTTGGAGAAGAGACCAAAATGGACAGTGTGGCATAGGCAGGATGATGAGAGCACAAAAGAAACTAGCAACTCCTTTTACTAGATTTTTCAGTCCAGTATAAAATATAACATTCCATTCTTTGTGCAATGCACTTTGAAGTCGAAAAGTGACAGTTGATTTCTTTTCCAAATAAGACAGCCATCACTCTTCAGTCTTTTATACGGGGAATTTCATATAACTCGCAATATATGAATGCAGTAACCATAATTACGCATAATTATTAATCTCCAAGTACTTATTTTAATTATATATAGAATTAACAAACTATGAATTGTTCCAGTTCTTATAAGATAAATTAATCTTGGTTCATTTTCATCTATATACAGTATATATTCTTCTGCAAGCAGAATTCAGTCTTCTGACAGCAGTACTTAGTTTATTAATAGCAGTATTTAGGCTTCTGAAAACATTATTTAACTTTCTCTGAGCAATATCTGGTCTTATTTGAAAAGGATTTTGGTTTCTATAGGATCAGGTCTTCTTAATTCAAGATGTAAGTTTTTGCAAGCAGTATTTAGTCTTTTGGCAGTAGTACTCAATCACTATTTCGACAAGATTTCTATAAAGTTAAACAAATTTCTGTAATGCTTATTTGTTAGTAATACCAAAAATATAGAGTTCATAATCTACATTGCATGAAGATTGCAATTGTAATTCCAAACATCTTCTTAGAATCTAGAGTACACATCTTGAGTTAGATGATTTAAGACTTCTCCTTGTATTTTGAAACATGTAAATTACGCAGTGCAGGTTTTATTTCTTTATGAATTTTGTGTTCTTGCAAACCAGAATCAATACAATGCAATTCCAAACATCTTCATGACTCTTTGAATATGTATTTCGTGGTGAGTGATTTTTGAAACCAGTGATTTGTAATTTTTAGACATCTTTTTGCAGTATGGACCATAATCGATGGAAGTATTAGCATCTTTTTAGAACTTTTTTTAAATCTGGTGTCTTCTAAAAAATGATTCTTTAGACTACTTTTTGCAGTGAAAAATTCTTCACAATATAGTTAAATAATTAACGTGAAGGTCATATACAAAAAAAAGTTTTTTCAAGGAGCGTATTTACAGTGTGAAACTCTTCATGGTTGTAATATACGTTAAGGTCTAATGGTAAGGATTGACGGAGGTGTTCCAGCGTGGCTAATCGATTACTAAGAGGCCTTTCAGAGGTCCTGACCAGCTGATGGTATCGAATTCGCCGGTAATTGATGCGTGGCCGTGATAGGATCAATTAGGCAGCGTTCGTGTAGCAGAGCCTTCGTCCTCTTCCCGTTCTTTCGCGGACGTAATTGCACTCCCAATTACCCGCCGATATCCTAACGCTAAATATAATACTACTAAATCTAAATATCAACACACACAAGAGTCGTTAATGAATAAATTAAATTGGTCACCGCTCAGCAGACATATGGCGGATAAAATTATATGAAAAGGGGAAAAGGAAAATAGATTAGCGGCGAGAACTCGAGGCAGAAACCGGAAAGGAAGGGTTGTTGTATTAGTTGAATCGTGTCAACAAAGGGTACTCATACGAAATCCACAATGTTTGAATCGTCGTGATTCACACGTTTATTACGTTCTCAAGATCGGAAATGAGAGTGCATCGTAAGAGGAATTCCTTCGGGGCTCGTTGTTTGTTCAGGGTCGACTGGTTATCTTCGTCAAGTTAATTCAAACTATTCGTAATAATCCTCTCAATAACAATTTCTTCGTTTTTTTTTTGTAACCAATCATTTTTTTAATGGTTGAGCTAACGTTAAGTACTTCCTTTGGAGTTATGCTTCGACAATCTATAACGCAATAGTATAACCTACAAGTGCGATTAAATCGCGCAATATATGAATGCAGTAACCATAGTTACGAAACTAGTGTGTACTTGCACTGTCCCACATAAAATGTAACATAGCTTAATAGTACAGGCATTGGGTAGTTTCTTATCATCCTGCCTATGCCACACTGTCCATTTTGGTCTCTTCTCCAAAAATACATTCGGATTTAGCCCAATGTCTCTCAAGATGGCTAAACCCCTAGTGATAGTGTAAAAC